ACCTCACACATGACAGGCAAGTGCACTACTGCTGAGCCACAGTCTCAGCCCCACAAACTGACTTTTAGTTGTTTTTATTTGGGTTCTTAAATTCTACAGATGATGTACTTTTTTTGCATACCTGGGGTAGGGGTTGCCCATTCCCCTACCCATGGGAGGCCACTTCCAGCAATACTGGAGATCCAATTACACTTGGCAACTGTGGACCGGAACTCAGTGATGCAGACTCCTCCTTGGAAGCTATTCAAGTTCTCAACCCTTAATCCAAAGAACCTTCTCAGGTATTACCTCCTATAGAAAACCTCTCCTGACATATCCTCTCTCCCTTGACTCTGGATCAAATATTTCTCCTTTATATTGGTAGAACACCCTGTGCCTACTTCTGTCATTGACCTCCCACATTCTATTACAATTATATGTCTCCTTCCACTTCTGAAAGCCAGGACCTGGTCTAACTGATTAATTAGTACTCAATGTTCTGGCCATATCAGAAACACACACACACACACACACACACACACACAGAGTTGTTCCAAAGTGAAGTGGTTTGGCGAATTAGATGGTGATACAAAGGAGGTGTTGTTGAGCTGCCCCTCAGGGTAGGAAGAGGCCTTGAAAACAACAACAAGACTTTTATTATTTTTTTCCCTGTTTCAGTTCAAGGAATGTCTCACCCCTATCACAAGCCCTAATTTCCGGGTGAGGAAACTGAAGCTCACAGAGGTCAGAGGAACTGTCTACAGCTCTAGGACAAGTCACTGGCCCAACCAGAAGGACAGGAGGCATTTCCTGACCTCTAGGTCAGGGCCCAGGCCGCCAGCCCTGTGTCTGGTCCACTGCGGTCTCCGCAGCTCCCTCCTCTCCATCTTGACACTGCGCTCATTTAACCACTAGGTGGAGCCAGATGCCCGCTCAAGGGGCGGCTGGGCACACTTTAGGGGTTGCAGCGAAAGTTCCTTTGAGAGGGGCCCACTGGGACTGGAGGGCCACAGGCCCCCGGAACTGGGGAGTCTGGTACAGAAAGGGTGCGTGTGTGTTGGGGGTGGTTAGAAAGCCGGAGTTCAGGAACACTGGCGGCAGGGATGGAGGGAGGAGCCGCTCCCGGGTGTTTTCTTCGCTCCTTCCAGCGCTGCCTTGTCTGGCGGTGTTGGGGGAAAGGGCAGTGCTGGGGGAAGGGAGGCTCTCCCGAGCGGCCGGCGGCCCGGGCCTCCACCTCCCTTCTCAGACTCAGTCAGGGCCCGGAGCAGACCGTACAGTCCTAGTCACAGGCAAGGAAACCAGGAAATCAGACCCGGAGACCAGCTTCCCTGCAGCCTGCCCCCGTTCCTCCAAAGCCAGCCGTGCCTCACGACTTCCCGGAATCCCATTCTCCAAGTCCTAGCCCTTCAGATAGAAGTTCTAGCATTGCCTTTTTCAGAGACAGCCTGGTTCATCTCCTGACTAGGTCAGATCCCTTATTATTTGCTTTCCTAACACCGCATACTTTTTCAGTATTCTCAGATTGTCATAGTTGTAATTCTACATTTGTTTCTGTTTTGCTTTGATGCTAGGCAAATACCCTATTCACTGCCTGTCCTGTTCTATTTACATTTTTGTATTGAAGATTGAACCCAGGAATGGTGTACCATAGAGTTACATCCCTAGTCGTCTTTTTCTGTTTTTGATATACGGTCTTACTAAGTTGCTGAGGCTGGCCTCCAACTTGTGATTCTCCTGCCTCAGCGTCCTGAGTTGCTGGGATTACAGGTACCTACCACCACTCCTGGATCTGTACCTTTTCTGGTGTGTGTGTGATGCTGGAGATTGAACCCAGGGCCTTATGCAAGCTAGGCAAACACTCTACCAACTGAGCTATATACCTAGCCCAGATCTGGATCTTTTAAAAAACATTATTTATTACTAGAGTTCCATGAGGGTAAAGGCCATGTCAAGTTTTGCTCACTTAAAAAAGATGTACAGGGGCTGGGGTGGTGGCTCAGTGGTGGAGCACTTGTCTAGCATGCATGAGGCACTGGGTTGATTCTCAGCACCACATATAAATAAATAAATGATCCATCGACAAAAAAAAAAAAAAAAAAACAATTTCCAGAGCTGGGGATGTAGTTCAGTGGTAAAGCACTTGCCTAGCATGCACAAGGTCCTGGGTTCCATTCTCAGAACCACACACACACACACACACACACACACACAAATGATAATAATAGAATAAAATTCCAGCAGTGCAAGGCCCTCCTGAGTTCAATTTCCAGTACCACACACACAAAAAAGTAATAATAAATAAATAAATTTAAAAAATCTCTAGTACCTTCATACCTGGCATAGACGGTACTGAACAAATGTTTCTTGAATTACTAAGTAAATCTTATCTGGAACTCAGCAATCACTTCTTGCCTTCCAATTTTCATCAAGTCTCTACCCATGAGTTTCCCACTCAGAAGGCACAGTGGTCTAGTGGAATTGCCAATCTGATCATGTTACTCTACCCCTTCAATAACCTCAGAGGCTTCCCAGGGCCCCAGGAATAAAACCCAAGCTTCTGACTATGGCCTTACAAGGCCTGGCAGGATCTGGCTCACCTCATGCCAAGCTCCACCTCAAGGGACCTTTTTATTTATTTATTTGTACTGCTGGGGATCACATGCTGGGTGAGCTCTGCCATTGAGCTACATCCCCAGCCCTTAGTGGATTTTCTTTTTTCTTTTTAAATATTTTTTTTAGATGTTGATGAACCTTTATTTTATTCATTTATTTATTTATATGCAGTGCTGAGAATCGGACCCAGTGCCTCACACATGCTAGGTAAGCGTTCTGCCACTGAGCCACAACCCAGCCCCCTGAGTGGACCTTTCTTAATTCAACAAATATTGAGTAACCTATTCTACAGGCACTCAGGACTCCGGTAAGCAAAAACAGACCCCTTCAGATTTGCTCACAGTTCTGTGGATATTCAAACACAGCCCTTTCCCACACAGCCTCCTTCCTTGCCTAGAAAGTGCTTATCCTTCTTCTTTCTCTACTTTCCTGACATTGTCCAGTCAGCATTTGCTCACTCCTAGGCTTCAGCCCAAACTCCATTTATTCAGAGATACCTTATGCTACCCTGAGCTTGGGTTCGACCCCTGCTCTATTCGCTTTTTGTTCCACGTTGATAGTCTTCGTTGCACTTAAAATGTAAGTAATGTGATGTAGCACGTTTTCTATTTTCACGTTTGTTTGTGTGATTCTTTGGTTAATATCCGTCTTCCCCACTGGGAAGCTCAGGAGCTCTGGACCTGGTTTGTGCTCACTGTCAGAGCCCTCTGGTGCTTAGTAGGTGCTCCACAGGCAATTTATTGATTGAATAAATGAGTAAATGATTCCCCAAGAGTGTTCAGAGGGTGTTGCTCTTCAGGGAAATCTTGGAGTCTCTGCCCTAGAGCAAACAGGAGCTGGGGGTGGGAGGGGTGTGCAAAGAACTCCACCAAGGAGAGGGCCCAGAGCATCTGTTCCCTTCCTGCACTTGTCATCTCCCTGGTTCCTATGACTTGGCCCCTGACCACCTTCCCAGCCCCATCTAGCTACTCTCCCCACTGTTTCTGTTGCCCCTACAACCCTGCTTCTCCCCAGGGTGTGTGTGTGTGTGTGTGTGTGTGTGTGTGCGCGCGCACGCCACATGCTCTCCTCCCCTGTGACTCTCCTTGCTTCTTTTCACATGGCTGGCTTCCCCTCAAGTTTAAGTATTTGTTTATTGTCCCTGTATAAGTTAGAAGCTTTGGGGCACAGGGAACAAAAAACCAATTTGCAGTGACTAAACAGTCAGGGAAGGAGTTGGCTAATTCAGTGATGCTCAAGGTCAGAGGTTCTCATCTGGCTGCTCTGCCATCCTTGATGTTGGCTTTGTCCTTAGGTTAATTAGCAGGAGGATGCAGAATTTCAACCAGCCTAGTGGGACTTCATATCATACAAGCAGGGTTTTCTCCTCATAATGTATATTAACTATTGCACTGTGACAAATTATCACAAAACTTAACAGTTTAAAACATTTATTATCTCACAGTTTCTGGGAAGTAGAACTGGTTGGTTCTAGCTCAGGGTCTCTCATGAGGTGACAGTCAAGCTGTTGGCCAGGACTGATGTCATCTGAAGGCTGGCCTAGGCTGGAAGATCTGCTTCCAAGCTTATTCACATGGTTGATGGCAGAAGGCTTTGGTTTCTTGATATGTGGGCCTCTCTACAAGATTGCTCAGGACTGCAGCTGCCTTCCCAAGGGTGAGTGACCCAAGAGAGAGACAGCAACCACAACAGGCTTCAGTATCTTTCACAGATTGGTCTCAGAGTGACACACCATTGCTTGTGCAGTATTCTACTGGTATTTTGGCCCCACCCTGATACAATGTGGTACAACAAAAGGATGTGAATACCAGGAGACATTGGGAGATCATCTTAGAGGGTGGCTGCTACATTGTGGTTCCTTTCAAGTGAGAGAGCCTTTTCCAGAAGCCCCCAAGTGGATTCTCTTCACATTTGTTGGCTGGAATTGTTCATGCCTAATCAATAGCTCACAAGGGACTTGGGGCCATCACTTTTGGCTCACCACAATCATGACTGATCTCTGGGGCGTGGATTTGCTAAAGCACAGGGTGAGGTCTAGGAAGATGGGTACCTCAACAAATCAGGATTGTGTGGAATGAGGAAGGGGTGACGGCAATGGATGTCGAGTAGGTGGCCCACAATGCCTATGGTGCTTACTGTTAGACTGTAACACACAGGACAGAGGTTACATCTTTTCCTACTACTGCATCTACATTGTGTAGCCTAGGCCTGATGCAGGGTAGATGTGAAAATATTTGTTGAAAGAATGGATAAATGAATGAATTCATGAGCCGACTGAAAGATCATAGAGCAGGGGGTCTAGGATTCGTACCGGCAGGTAGGGAGAGGTATCCCTAGGCCCCTTCATTTCTTAGAACTCAGGAATCCACCTACTCCCACCCTCACCACCAGCTCCAAAGATAGACAGGTTTGGCAGAATTATTCTCACTTTATTTCTGGAGAAGTTTGATCAGATGCAATAACACTGATTCCAGGCGAGGGTGGGGGAATGGGTTCCCCTGAAGCAACCAGTATCCTGTGGCCCAAGGTGTCCCCCCATTCCCAGGCCTGGATTCTCCCTCAGTTACAGTTAAATAGAGAGAGGAAGATCTCCCCAGGGAGCATTGGAAGGAGGGTTTGCCTCCTGCACCTGCCCCCTCCACACAGAGGCATCTGAGCACAAGCTATTTACAGTATTCACATCCACTGTACCCCACCAAACCAAGGCAAATACTACAGATGGCCCTGCCCCAGGGGGGAGGCCAGAGAGGCTGTGAGTGTATGTGTGTGTATGGGGGGTGTCTGCGCGTGTGAGCACATGAATGCACTGAGGGGCAGGGTCTGGCTCCAGCCAAAGAGACATCAGTCTATAAGGTGCAGATTAACAACAGAGAGGACCCACCCCCAGGGGCCCAGGCCACTTCCATCTGTGTTCTGTCTCTTTCTCCTCCAGACATCCTGGTAGATGACGCAGAGGAGCCCTCACAGCCATGTCTGGATCCAAGGCAACCCCTTAAAGGACTTCTAGGGGAAAGGAGGAAGGGTAGAGTCAGGGAAAGCTTGCCTCTTGGGGTCTTCAGGGAGCAGCAGGGAGAGCCTCTTGCAAAGTTCTAAGAAGAGAAGGCAGGGCTGGGGGATCTGGAGAGGGATGCTGGGAGGGTTGGATCTGGGTCCAGGAGCCAGGGGTCCCTACCTGTGACCTGTGGAGGCTGCACCACAGCTTTCTTGAGGAAGGCTTCTGCTTCTGCAAAGGGCAGGATTGCCTCTGGTGTTCGACCCAGACTCTTGTCCCCAGAAGGTCCCTTGGGGGAGAAGCCATTCTCTTGGTGTGCTGGAAGAGGCTGCAGGCCATTTACCAGGGACCCAGGTAGCTCCTTGCTTGGCAGGCTGTGAATGAGGGGGCCCCAGTTAGCACCTTGCCTCCCAGTCCCCAGGCCACCCCCCAGGTCCAGCCTAAGGCTGCCTTCCTGCTCAGGGTCCCTAGGGCTGGGAGCTAGTACCTCCACTGTGGCTCCTGGGGAGCTGGCTCCTCTTTCTGCACAGCTTCCTTCTGCAACCCTGAGGGTCGAGCCTCTACAACTTTCACAGAATCTATGTCAGGGAAGGAATGGTCATTGGCCAGTGGCTGGCAAGTGACGCTGGAGGTTGGGGATAGCAAAAGGGATGGAGATAAGGGGGACAGGGGCTTTACCTGGGTCAGAATTGTTGGCTTTTGCCTCCTTTCTGTCCTGTTTCTGCTTTGAGGAGGAACAGCAGTCAGATCCAAGGGCTATCTGGACCCATCTGACTGTGGTCCTCAAGTCTTCCCATCTGGGCCTCCCCCACAGCCTCCCTCCTTCTGTGGATGCCTTTCACATCCTCCTCCCCTCCTCTCCCCAATCCCTGCTCCCAACCCAGGAATCCTGACCTTGGTTTCAGCAACTTCTGACTTCCGAGTCCTCTTCATTATCTCCTCCAGACGCTGTTTGGAGGCCCCAAACAGTTAGGCCCAAGCCCCGGCCTTATCCTAAACCTCCCACCAACCACCCCCAGCTCATAACAACCCTTTTCAAGCCAGGAATCAGAACTGGCCCCAAGTCCTCATGCCACCCTCTACAAACTCTGGGCTGGGCTCTCTGGTTGCATTCAATTAGCACCACCCAACCCAGATGCAGACCACGCCCAGTACATAGACCACGCCCACGTGAGCCCCAAGGGCTCCCCACACACCTTTCTGCGCTCTTGCCTCTCCTGTTCCTCTCGCTGGAAGTGCTTTTCCCGCTCCAGACGCTGCCTTTCTGCTTCTTCCCGGGACCGGGCTTCGGCCTCCTCTTTCTGCCAAAGACTCCAGTTAGCTTTGGGCACCTGGCTCCTGCCCTCCTCCCTCCCAGGCCTTCCCGCCAGCTGGGGCACCTGCTTCTGCAGCCGCTCTTGCTCCTCCTGCTCCGCCTGCGCCTTCTCTCGGGCCTCCTGCTCCTCCCGCCTCTGGGCCTCGGCCTCTCGCTGTGCCCGGGCCTCGGCCTCCCGCGCCAGCTGCTCCTCCCTCATTCTTCTGAAGGACAGGGAAAATGAGGCTCAGTCTGAGCCTCTTCTCCAGGCCACACAGGGCCCCCTCAGTCCCCGAGGGCACACTCACTTGTCCCTTTCTGCCTGCAGCTTCCGTTCTTGTTCCTCGCGCTCCCGCTGCTCCCGGGCCTGGCGCCTTTTCTCAGCCAGGAGTCGAGTGGCTTCTTCTCGGTCTGTGGTGCCAGCCATGGGTTTGCTAGGGGTCACTGGGGGAGCCGGCGCTGGGGGTGAGGTCAGGACAGCAGTACCTGGAGGGAAGCCAAGACCAGGGAGTCAGCACACATCTGTACAGGCTCCTCTGCCACCCCAGCTTACCCCTGCTTCCTGGACCTCAAAGTAACCCACCCACTGAACTGCTACCATCCACACTGAGTGGCCCGTGTTCTGAGGGCTGAACCTGCTGGGGGCAGTAAATATTTATTTTTTTAGTTTTTTAGGTGGCTACAGTATCTTCAGTTTTTATTTTTATGTGGTGCTGAGGATGGAACCCAGTTTCCCACTTGTGCCAGGCCAGCGCTGTATCACTTGAGTCACAACCCCAGCTCAGCCCCTCTTCTTGTACCAGTCCCCAGGCATCTCTGGTGGCCCACCCCCCTGACCACCACCCATGCAGGCAAAGCTGGCTTCCCTGGCTTTCCACTTTCTCTTCATGCCCACCTGCAGGGATCTCTGCTGTGGGTTGCTCCTTCTGGGGCTGGGCAGGGGTGGGCGAGGGCACAGGTGAGGGTGCTGGTGAGGCTGGAGCTGCTGGCTCCTTCTCATCACTTGCCCTGCTCTTGCTCTGGTTCTTGTCCTCTGGCCCTGCTGTGCTGGGGCTCTCCTTTGCCTCCTCCTTCCTCCGAACCCGCCCCTTAGGTGATGCGGTGATGCCTCTGGGGGACGGTGGTTTCGGGGGCAGAGTGTGTCCTGGCCCTGGGCTGGGGCAGGGGGAGGCAGGCCTGTGCCAGGAGGGAGAGGATGGCCGGGCCTTGGACTTGGAGCTGAGAGAAAAGATGAGGGTTAGAACTGGAGGGCAGAGAGTGTTCAAGCATGCACACCACTCTGAGCGTCACTTCCTCATGGAAATGTCCCTCCCCGAGGCTAGGTCAGCACTCCCCACCTATTTGCTCTTACAATACTATATCATTTCCTCTTAGTGCATACTCTCCAGTTTGTAACTGCATATCATCTGTGAGATTTCTTTCTTTCTTTCGTTACTGCAGAGTGAACCCAGGGGTACAAAACCACTGAGCTACATCCAGCCCTTTTTATATTTTATTTAGGAACAGGGCCTCGCTAAATTGCTTAGGGCCTCACTAAATTGCTGAGGCTGGAGATCCTCCTGCGTCAGCCTCCCAAGCCACTGGGATTACAGGCCTGTGATACTGCCTTGACTTGTGAGATTTTTTTGATTTATGCCTGTACTCTTGTGTGTATACACACACACACACACACACACACACACACACACACACATATATATATATATATATATATATATATATATATAATCTGTAGATGGACACGATAACTTTATTTTGTTTATTTATTTTTATGTGGTGCTGAGGATTGAACCCAGTGCCTCATAGGTGCTAGGCAAGTGTTGTACCACAGAGCCACAACCCCAGCCCTAGCCTGTACTCTTTTTTTTTTAATATTTATTTTTACGTTTTAGGTGGACACAATATCTTTATTTTACATTTATGTGGTGCTGAGGAAAGAACTCAGTGCCTCATGCATGATAGGCAAGCACTCTACCACTGAGCCTCAACCCCAGCCCCCTTAGCCTGTACTCTTTAAAAAAAAAAAAAAAAAAAAAATTGTAGTTGTAGATAGACAGCATGCCTTTATTTTATTTGCTTTTTTTCTTGTATGTGGTGCTAATAATTGAACCCAGTGCCTCATGCATGCTAGGTAAGCATTCTGACACTGAGCCCCAGCCCCACCCCAACTCCTCTAGCCTGTACTCTTTTTTTTTTTTTTTTTGGTACTGGGGATTGAACTCAGGGCACTCCACCACTGAGCCACATCCCCAGCCTTATTTTGAGTTTTATTTAGAGACAGGGTCTCACTGAGTTGCTTAGTACCTCACCACTGCCGAGGCTTGCTTTGAACTCTGATCCTCCTGCTTCAGCCTCCCTAGCCTCTGGGATTACAGGGGTGCACCACCATGCCTGGCTAGCCTGTACTCTTTTTTTTTTTTTTAAGTTGTAGATCAAATAACCTTTGTTCTATTTTATTTATTTATTTTTTAATGTGGGTCCAGGTTTCGAACCCACCCAGTGCCTCACGCATACTAGGCAAGCACTCTACCACTGAGCCACAACCCCAGCCCCTAGCCTGTACTCTCAATGAGAGCAAAAACTAAACCTGACTTAGCTCATCAAAGTGCTTACCATAGTGTCAGGCAATGTTTTAAGTATTGAGGTGTTTCAGTAATCAAAACATGAAAGAGGTCAGGCACGTGTCCCACGACTCCATCCCAGGGGCTAGGGAGGCTGAGGCAGGAGGATTAGAGTTCAAAGCCAGCCTCAGCAAAAGTGAGGCACTAAGCAATTTACTGAGACCCTGTCTCTAAATAAAATACCAAATAGGGCTGGGGATGGGGCTCAGTGGTCGAGCTCAAACCCAGGTACCAAAAAAAAAAAAAAAGAAAAGAAAGAAATAAAGAGGGAGAGAAAGGAAGGAAAAGGAGAGAAAAGAGAAAAAGGGAAAGGAGAAAATACAAACTTGCCCTGAAGGGGCTGGGGTGTGGCTCAGCAGTAAAGCAAATAAACAAAATAAAGATACTGAGTCCATGTACAACTAAAAAATATTTTTTTAAAAAGGTATTGTGTTATGTACAACTAAAAAAAAAAAAAGCCCTCAAGAAACTTTCATTCTAGAGTGCCTGCCCAGCAAGTATTTGTGAATGAATGCGTGTATGCATGGCCTGGGGTGGTGCAGGGCCCGACCACCACTTGCACCCACCTGAGCTCAGAGGTGGTGCCAGCAGAGAGACGTGGCCGCACAGTTGCAGGTAGCGACTGGCGCTTTTTGAGGCTACGCTCCCGGGCCAGGGCACTCTTTTCCTTCTCGTTTTCCCTCTCCTTGTCCTTCTTCTCCTTTTTCTGCACCTGGCAGGAAGGGTAGGAGAGAGCGGAGAAGGGGTGCTGAGGTCAGTGCCACTCGTGCTCCTGGGTACAGGCAGCTTGTTCCCACCTGCGCTGCCACTCACCGGAGAGGCCTCTGGCCGACGGCGAACCGGAGCGGGGCTGCCCCCGGCGCTGGGCTTGCGCCGCTCTCCGCGCTCCCCAGCCGGGGTGCAGCGGTGCACGCTCCGGGGGGCGCTGCACGGCGGTGTCAGGGGGCTGGCGGAGGCCGAGCGCGGGCAAACGGGCACGGCTGCGGAGGTATGAGTGCGGTCGGGGTGCGGCCCAGGCGCGAGGCGGGCCCCTGCCCGGCCCCTCGTGGGGTGTCTCCCAGAGCCGCTGCCCCTACCCTGGTCACGGCCGTTGCGGGGCAAAGTGACCGCACTGCGACTCCGAGCCAGGAAAGAGAGGGTGGGCGTCATCAGACGATCCACTATGCTGCTCTCCCATGCACTCAGCTGCAGGCTGCGATCTGGGGGGAGAACACCGGAGAAGCAGGTCACTGCAGGCGGAGGTATAGGAGGGGACAGGTACTGTCCTCAAGATGAGCCCAAGGATTCTCATCCAGAATGAATCTCCTGGCCACACTTGTCCTTCCTGAGATCTGGACCTCCACTGCCTACCCAGACAAGAAAACACTTCCCCGGGTAACACCCTGCATGGCTTCAGGATTCTGCCTACCACTGTCCCCAGATGAAGTGGCTCGGAACTGTGAGCATAAGAAGCAGCCCTGCAGGATTGGTGGAAGACCCAATCCACCTCTTCCATGTCCCTCTGTAGGGTCCTGCCTCTTCTGCTCTCAGAGTACTGGTCTGGGGCAGGCATGAGCCTGTGCATTTGGGACAGCGAGGATCCTTGGTTCCTCTGATCCAGTCTCTAGAAGTTCTGTGCCAGGGTGAGGCTGCTAGGGGGCCTGGCTGCCCTAGGCCACCCTGCTCTGTCTCCTCAGCTGCTGGGTTATTTTTGAGCGTCAGTCAGGTGGGGTTGGTGCAGCAGCTGATTTGGTTGCTAGGCAACAAAGCAACCAAATAAAAGCTAAAGAAACTTATAAATAACTCCTACCATGGCTCCTTTCATATGTAAGCACCAGGGCATGGTGGGAATGCAGGGACTGTGCCACCCTGGTTAGCCACAGCTCTGGAACTAGCCAAGGTCTTGGCTGGGGCTCTGAAGGCAGAGTGGGGCAGGGTTGTATGGACCTCCAGGGTGGAGCCAGAATGACCCCCACACAGCACCCAGGCCAATCTGACACATGGGGGTAAGGCCATCTGTCTCGGGTTGGCCCAGGCCAGCTGGCTGTGGTTGGGGATAAGGCTGCCAGGCTATTCCCACTCTCAGCCACCACCCCAACTTGCTCTTGAGGCTCCTGCCAGGATTTCTGCCCTGTGGGCCATTGTCCTTTGTCTCCGTTCTCCTCTCCTGCAGGGCACAACTCTGTCCTCAGGGTCCAGACCCAAATGCCGGCTCCCCAGAAGGGCATAACACCCTGGTTGGGATCAAATGGGGATGGGGACCTGGAGTCTGTGAGGGCTCCAGGGACTGATGTTCTGGCTGGCTCTGGAGGACGCCTGGTAGGGCTACAAGGGGCTCTAGAGGGGGAAGGCTGGGCCTTCTCTTACTTCTACTGGGGGAGTTCCAGAGCGTGGCAGAGGACTTTGAGAGCCGCTTGTTGATTATAGAGTCCACGTGTTTGGGCAGGTTTACTGCCGACACGGAGCACCTGCTCCCACCTGGAGGGGAAAAGACACGGCATTAGGGCCGGGCCAGACAGGAGCCAGGGGGGGCACTGAGGCCTTCCATGCAGGATGCTCCGAGGGCAGGGTGGGAGAGGGAGGAGTGGGCAGGCTAGGATGGGGAGGAGGAGGCAGATTTGGCCCTGGGAGGCGGAGGATGAGGGGTACGTGATCAGAGACAACTTGGGTTGGGGGAGCCGACAGAGAATGAGCAGAGGGAGGAAATGGTGTGACTCTAGAAAAACTACAGCCTTCCTGGCCAGACCAAAGGAAGCCATTCCCTAGGCTGGGTGCTGCAACCCCTCCCCACAACCACCCAGCATTGGCACTTGCTGACACTGCCCAGCCAAGGCACTATGGATACAACACCCACATACTGGGACAATGCAGACGTTCCTGAACAGAAGAACCCACACACAATCACTAGCACAAATTCACATATTCATCCAGACACACAAAGACAAAGACATGCAGACACAGGCATATAGAGTGGTAGGTACTATGCATATGCACATGTGTGTGCAGACATGCACAGACAGAAACACAAATAGCAGACAATGTGTCAGACCCAGATGCACACAAAGCATGAATACACTGAAGCAACCTGATCATGGCTGATATTTATAACAGCTAGCATTCATGGATGCTTACCATGTGCCAGGCACTGTGCTGGGCACCACACACCTGTTACCTCACTTGATTCTCCAAACATCTACCTACAATCTCGGAGGCAAGTAGTATTGTTATCCCCATTTCATGATGAAGAAAGTGAGATGTCGAGAAGTTAAAGGTCACAGCACAAGTGCCAGAGCTGGAGCCCCAGTCTGTCTGACTTAGGAGCCCTCACTGAGGTACACAAGGCCACAAATACACCATTGCAAACACGTCAAGCTACACAAAACAGATCCATGAGCACATACGCTAGAAGGTAAGAGCTAGAAATACTGAATTTTGCCATTGCATAAAGACATCCAAACACAGTGGTACATACATGCTGGCAAAGAATCAGACCAAAATCTATGATGAGTCTACATGAAGAGAACTCAAAGACAAAAATCTACCTTCCAAGAGAGGGGGTGACAGTTTTCTTTAAATATCCAGTGTCTGCAGGGCATTAAAATCCTCTTTTATGTATCATCAACTAATAGTAATTGACAGGAGGAAAGAAGACTACTCCTAAAATGACAGAGGTTTGAAGAGCAAACCAAATGGAGGGAATCCATCTCTGATTTGATAGTGGAAGGGACGATTCAGTTTACAGACCACTCCAGAAGACACAAGTCACGAGAAGCCAGACACACCTGGTGCAGGGAGCCACCACCTCCTTATATGGAAGTTGGCCCCTTCCCCACTTTGCCAGGCCTCAGCCTCGCCCACCCACCCATCAGCCCTTCCAGGCCACTCACTGGTCTTATGTCCTGGGGAGCTGTGGTGCAGGGCCCCTGCCCAGGACCAGCGCTGCTGCCGGATTTCAGCCCACGTCTTCTTCACTGACCGCTGGATGGCTGCTTCATAGCGCTCCTGGAGAGAAGTCTGGGCTCAGAATCATCTACTACATCTAAGAGAAAGCCTTATTTCTCCTGTGACAGTGCCTCCCCCTACCCAAGCTTTTCCTGACTCATTGCAGGTAACCAGGGTTACTGAATCCTTGCTGTGATTAAGGATATGTGCAATAGATCCCTTTGGACTTCTTGGAGAGTTTTTCACTGTGCCTGAGTCATTTCCTGGGTGTTCTGAGCTGTTTCTCTGAGGATGGGGTGGGACTCTCCCTGCCTAGAACTCCTAGGCAGAGCTATGTCCCACTGGCAGGGAGGGTCCTGACCTTGGGGATGTTTCCTCTTTAGCCTGAGGCCACCTGGCAGGGTCAGGCATCTACCCATGTGGCAGTGCTAGGCACATACACACAACCTATGCAACACACACACACACACACACACACACACACACACGGGCACAGTCACAGGGACCCCACAGTGGCATGTAGGGGAGCAAAGGTGGCCCAGGGTCACAGATGGGACCAGTGGAGACATGAATACCCATGTGCATACAACTTCCAGTACAAAGACATGCAGGCCCCAGCGTGCAGAGCTGTGCAGGCCCAGTACCAACCAGCACCTATGCACCTTGTTTTTCTCCAGCTTCTGCCGCTGTCGCTCCTCCAGGGCAGCTCGGCGTTGCTCAGCTTTAAGTCGCTGTTCCTCCAACCGCCGACGGCGCTCCTGGAGCTGCTTCTCCCGCAGGGCCTTGGCCTTCTCCTCCTTCTCCAGCCACACTGCCTTCTTGGCCGCTGCGTGGGGGGGGGGGGGAGGAGCCAGGCGTGTGAGGGGTTCTGCAGCAGGTCTGGGCCAGACACCTCCCTGAGACCCTAGCCCAGGTAGTCTGTCTCCTGCCTGCCTAGGTGGAGCCTCCACTCCCAGACCCCCTCTCACATTGAAGGGCTTCCTGAAGACAGGCTTCACAGGAGGACTATTTCTCCAGTATTGGCCTCGGGTTTCTCGGGACTGAAGGAGAAAGGGGCTCTTCAATGCAAGATCCCCATCTGACTTGACTGGACAGATATCCATGTATTGTGGTTAAGAGCGTGGATCTGGGTTGCGATGAGGCCTCTGGGTTTGAATCTCAGCTACTATACTAGCTGTGACTACATCTCTCTGAGCCTCAAAATGGGCGGAGAGGGTTAAAGGAGACATGCAGAGTGCACATGAAGCGTTCCAGCAGCAGCAGCAGCATCATTCACAGGATGCTGAAGGTGATGATGACCGCGAAGGGGACCACGACGCCTCCACACTCACCCAGGTACTTGGCCCGCTCTTCTCGCCGCTCCTTTGCCAGCTTGTGTCTCTCTCCCGACTTCTTTACATCTTAGAAGGAACATGAGCTGGTCGAAATGTCTCCCCAAGGAGCAGTCAGCCTGGGGATCCCTCTGCCCTGCCCCTCTCCCCCTTCATCTTCTCTAGGGAAAAGGGGGTTCCCTCAGGCAGCACTGCCCAGTGCTAGAACATGAGCCAAGGGGTTTGGACTCAAGACCAGGGACTTCACACATACCTTGCTTGGTGGGGGGGCTGTCGGAGGCTGGCACTGCAGTTGGGGATGGCTGGCTGCTCCTTCGAGAAGGCCTGGCATCCTGTGGGCCTGTGGCTGGTGGGGTGGGTCCCCTGCTTTTTGCTTCTGAAGAAGGGAATTCTTCTTGCAGGGGGGCTGGCCTAGGCATCACCTGCCCTGGTGGACTCTCTGGTCCCACTGGGAGCTGTTTAGGGCTAGAGGCATTCTTCATGGCAGGAGGGGTGTCCGGGGGAGTGTCTGGGACCAGGGCTGACATTGGTGGTGGCGGTGGTGGGGGTGAAGGGTCTCCTTCTGGAGAAGGTCTTGGCTCTGGGGGGATTCTGGCTATCATAGCTGAAAGACCAACACAAGAGAGGAGTGAGGGTCAGATTGTATATCTGGACCATTGGTTCAATACAGAGCTATCTCCCTTGCCCAGTGGACTTATTTATTTGTTGGGTCCAGTGTGGACCAGACATTAATGACATAATGCTGGAGAAACAGCAGAATCTCCGACTTTGAGGAGCGTGCCCTTCGGCAGGGCAAATAAATAGCAAGGTGGTTCCAGGAGAGGGTAAGCACCACATCCTGAGCAGCACTGCAGAGATGGTGGACCTGCATTTGGAGGGCTTCCTGAAGAAGCAGCAGCCAAGCTGAGATCACTAGGATGAGTCGGAGTTGGCAAAGCAAGGAGAAGAGGGTTCTGGCAGAGAACAACATGTGCACGGGCGGAAAGGAGGAGGGTGTGTTGGAAAAACTGAGAAAAAGTTTGAAGCCCTTGTTCATGCACCAAATGGTAATGACTGTTTTTCATGTCTTCAACCTCATCCTTCCACTCTACCTCTGGACCTCAGTGCCCAGGCCAAGGTCTGGTTCATAGAGGGTATCTGTGCAGGACACACGGGATTGACTAGGAGGAAGAACAGAAGCATGGGCACAAGTAGGATGCCTGTGTTGCTGGAGTCCCCAGTGCAGCGGACAACCAGCTCCATCTACATCTATTTTGCAGTCTTTCTTTTTTTTCCCCAGCGGCCCTCAGTTTCTTCTTTTAAGACATGAATATTTCATGAACCTTATACAAGACACCAAAGTGCCCAGTAAGGAAGACAAACAATTTGGCAAATATGCATGTACATATGTGTACACGTGCATGCCAAGGGGCAGTGGAAAGACAAGCTGCAGTCAGGCAGCTGAGGGCCCAGTTCTGATTTCACCACCTCAGACAGGGAGGAAAGTCCTACCTCTCCACAGGCAACCTTGGACAAGCCACTCAACCTCTCTGAATCTGTTTTCATATCTAAACAGGTATAAAGAGCCCAAGCTAGTGGGGATGGCAGTAGAGTACTTAGCACAATGCCTGTGTCAGTAATAATACTACACTCCCTTTTCCTGTGGGTCTTGTGATGCCTCCAGGACTCTCAAAGAGTATTCTCTGGCCTGGTATTGTGGTGCATATCTTTAATTCCAGCCACTAGGGATGCTGAGGCAGGAGGATTGCAAGTTCAAGGCCAGCCTCAGAATCTTAGTGAGACCCTCATCAACTCAGTAAGACCCTACCTCAAAATTTAAAAACAAAAAAGGACAGGCCAGGCACAGTGGCGCACGCTGTAATCCCAGTGGCTTGGGAAACTGAAACAGGAGGATCGCGAGTTCAAAGCCATATTCAGCAAAAGCGAGGAGCTAAGCAATGCAGTGAGACCCTATCCCTAAGTAAAATACAAAATAGGGCTGAGGAGGGACTGGAGTTGTGGCTCAGGGGCAGAGCGCTTGCCTAGCATGAGTGAGGCACTGGGTTCCATCCCTGGCACCACATATAAAATAAAAACAAATAAAGACATTGTGTCCATCTACAACAACAACAACAACAACAAAAAATAGGGCCAAGGATGTGGCTCAGTGGCCAAGTGTCCCTGAGTCCAATCTCTGGTACCCCCCCCCATAATTCAAAAAGGGCTGGGGATGTAACTTAGTGGTAAAGTGCCCCTGGGTTCAGTCCCTAGTACAAAAAAAGAAAGAAAAAAAAGAAATCCTCTGCACGCCTATAATCCCAGCAACTTGGGCAGAAGGATCACAAGTTCTGGGCCAGCGTCTGCAACTTCTCAAAATAAAAACACAGAAGGGCTGAGGGTGCAGCTCAGTGGCAGAGTGCTTGCCTAGCATGGGTAAAGCCCTGAGTTCCATCCCCTGTACTAAAAAACAAAAGTATCCTGTGCATATTGAGCCCTGATGCCATCTGCTGCTGTCCTGTGGGGACACAACCACCAACCCGAGAGAGCAGGACAGTGTCTGTGTGAAGGTGCATGTTTTGCTTCTACTGAGGGCCTGGCCCACTACACTAGGGCCCTGTTCTGGGAATTCGGACCCTCTGTGTGTGAGATAAACTCCCATTCCTGGGAGTTCAATGGTGACTAAAGATGTCTTTGGAGTCAAGATGCCTTTCTCAGGGAGGTGGGAATCTAAGGGTTGTTTTGGTCTCTGAAGCTAGACTATTCGAATATGAATTCTGGTTCCCCACTGTGTGACCTTGGGCCAGTGACAGACCCTCTCTGTGCCACAACACCTGTCCTATGAAATGCAGACATTACCTACCTCACCGTATTGTGATGAGTGTCACTCACTAACCATTAACAGTACTATATTCATCAAGAGCTTCCTATGTGTGTGCAGTGCTTTTTACACAAACTTGTTTTAATCCTCAGGAAACATCTCTTTCATACTGAAGAGGAAAGTAAAGCACAGAGAGGTTAGGTAGAGTAATTTGAGGTCACAAAGCTGGTAAATGAAGAGGCCTAGACTTGAACCCAGCATCCATCACCAGAACCCACACCCTTAGGCAGGGGACCTTCCTGAGTCTGTCTCAGGCTTATGCTCATTCCTTCCCTTCCAGCTTCCTGTGCTCCAAGTAAGAGCCCCAGCTGAGGCCCTGTCTCCCAGTGATCCCTCCAACTCTGCCAGACCTCTTAGGCCCCATGACAGGCCACCCGGCTGTCCCTATACCAGCTGGAGACAGAAGCCTGGTCACTGCCAACCTGTTTCCCAGCCAGTTGCAAACTCTTTAACGCCAAAGGGCAACAAAACTAGTGGCAACCACTCAGTGAGTAGTAAGCACCCTGCCACACAGCCACTTTGAGAGGCAGACTCTTACCCCATCATACAGTGAGGCAACCAAGGCACCCCACTAGCTGATTCGCCCAGGGTCATAAAACTGGTATGTGGCAGAATAAGGATTTGAACCCAGGACTGTCTGGGGCCAAAGTCTGGGTGTGTGAGTATCAAGCTTAAAGGCTGAGGGCGAGGCCTGTGTATTGCCCTTCTCTAAGCACCTCTGCGTGCTGCAGGTGTTGCAAGGAAAACTGGTAGGCGTTGTTGTCTACACCTAGGAAACTCACACCCACCACCCAGGCAAGAAGTGAATCCCCAAGTAGGTCCAGATGAGTCCTGTGCAGGGAGGCTGGGAGGAGCTCAGCCTATAGCAAGGGACGTGCCCTGGGCGTGGAAAGGTCTTAGGCTGCAGACTCAGACATGCCTGAGTAGATCCCGGCTCTATGTGGGACCCTGGGCAAACTCAGAACCTGTGCAAACCTCAGTTTCCTCACCGAGTTGTTGGTACAGATGTGAGAGGGTATGTCACCTCTGGTCCCTGGCAGGGACTCATTAAGCAGTACCAGGCCAGAAGAATCTGTCTATTTCTGAGCTCTACCAAAGAACCCACTCTGTCCAGCCTTCACTCCACACCACTAAGTCCACGAGCCCTTTCCCACCCTTGTCCTGTCAGCTGCATTGGACAGGTGGACCCTTCACTGCTCCTTCAAGCACCTGCCTCAGTTGGCTTTGGAGACCAGAGATCCCTGTTTCCTTCTGCCTTGCTGCCTGGGACTTCTGCCCTCTCTGCTGACCCCTCCCTAACTTCCTAACCTCTCCAGCTGCCTGCCCCAGGGCTCAGCTGCACATGGAACTCACCTCTTCTCTGTCCCCACGCTCTCCACTGGTGATCTCATCCAGACTCAGGGCTTTAAATACCATCCCTCTGCTGACGACAACCAAATTTGTTTCTCCAGCCCAGACCTCTCCCTTCAGGACCAGTTTCGCTCATGCAACTCCTACTTGACACCCCTGGATGCCCCAAATTTAACACATCCAAACTCAGGCTCCTCTTCCCCCCAACCCTGCGCCTCCCCCAGTTTTCCCCTGCTCAGTTAACGGCAGCTTCATCCTTCAGCTCCTCAGGCCGCTGAGTCGTTTCAGACTCTTTTCTTACATCATACTCCATGTCTAATTTCTCAGCAAATTCTTTTGGCTTTCTCTTCAAAGTGTATCCCAGATCCAATCAGTTCTATCTCCACTTCTATCACCTCGACTTGAGCTACTATCATTTCTTACAATACTCTTTGCTCCCATTCTTTTCACAACATGGCAGCCAGAGTGATTTTGTTTAAAAATAAGTCAGATCATGTCACTCCCAGACAAAATCCTCCCCAACCTCCCCCCCAACCTCCCCATCTTGTGGGGAGGGAAACCCATAGTCATCACCATGGCCTCTGAGACTCAGGGGATCCTCCCTCCATCTGGAGCCTGCGGCCTCTTGGACCTCATCTCCTCCTCCCTCCTCCACCTGCTCAGTCTCTCCAGCTCTTACTGTGTCCTCTCTGCTGGGAAGTCACTGCCCCCATATCCTGCTGACCTCATTCCCTCACCTTCTTCAGATCTTCATTCCAATATCTTTTTCCACAAAGCCTTCTCTGACTCCTTATTTAAAACTAGGAAGCCAGGCTCATTGGTGCACACCTGTAATCCCAGTGGCTCAGGAAGCTGAGGCAGGAGGATCTCAAGTTCAAAGCCAACCTCAGCAAAAGCAAAGCACTAAGCAACTGTAAATAAAATACAAAATAGGGCTGGGGGTGTGGCTCAGTGCCCCTGAGTTCAATTCCCAGCACTCGCCCCCCAATAAATAAGTAAAACTATGAACTACAGCTGGGCATGGTGGCTCATACCTGTCATCCCTGTGACTGGGGAAGCTGAAGTAGGAGGATCAGAATGTTTGAGGCCAGCCTCAGCAACTTAGCGAGGACCGAGGCAACTTAACAAGACTATCTCAAACGAAAAAAAAAAAAAAAAATCATGTAGCTCAGTGGTAAGCACTCCAAGGTTCAATCCCCAGTACCAAAAGAAAGAAAAACAACAAAAAACTATGAACTGCAGTGAAAGTCTCCATCTCCTTCTCAACTGTCTATTTTTTTTTACTCCATTTTTCTCTATAATCTCAACCACCATTACTACTTTTTTTTTCTTTCTTTTTTAGAAATGGGTTCTAGCTATGTTGCCCAGCCTGGTCTCTAACTCATGGGCTCAAGCAA